CCGCCATCACGGCCAATCCTCTCTGTGAAAAACTCCACGACGGCAAATTCAAAAATCCCCAAATCTAAAACAAGATAGTAAAGGAGTTATCAATTGGGGAACCAACGTACGAGGACGATGAGTGCAATGGCCAAAAAGGGAGGGGAGCGGGACTTGGAACTGAAAAGAGTGCCACCGCTGCCGCTGTCACCGTACTGGTGACCAGGCGCTGTGATCTTCACCTCGCGTGGCGAGGGATGATGCGGTGGCGAACCCTAACCCTAGGGCCGAATCTCGCAGGCAGAAGAGGAGTCCCTTGGGGAGCCAGAGGGATAGGGCGGTGTCGCGATCGAAATAGTCGCTGGTGGCGAAGTTTCCGGGGAATAATCTCGTGATGGGACAGGTGAAGATATTGAAGCGCAAGGAGTTGCTGGGGAAGAGTGAGGATGAGAAGAAGGGGAAAAGGTGGTGGATTTGGGATTGGGATCGACGAATCGGTTTGGGCCGGAGCTGGAGACGGTTCGGAAGGAGGTTAGGGTGGAGGAGTTTAATAAAGCCGTGGATGTGATGTATGCAGGTTCGGCGTTTTCACCTCATCGCCTCCGAGTTCGCTTCTTGTGCCGGCGTTTAATTGTGTGATTAGTGAGAAGGTCAAAGGATCAGAGATGATGATTTGGTAGATGGTGGCGATGATGGTTCGCTTCTTGGTGACCAGTCGGACCTTCAGCCGTGATGGCGGCGCAAGGGCGGATTGCTAGGTCTCATCTCGCGTATATGTAGAAGATGAAGAAGAACAGAGCGAGTTTTTGCAGATAGGTTTCTGTCATAGTTTGTGTTTCTGTAGTTGTGGACTTGCGGCCAATCCTCTCTATTTTTATTTTTTATTGATAATAATAATTAGGTGGAATATTTAAAATATAAAATTATTATTTTTTATTATTTTTTAAGTGCAACGTCACACATTTAACGGTCAACTTTAAGAGTTGACTGCCACATCGGCCAAAGTTAACGGAGTTGGACGGAGAGTGACCGAACTTGAAACGTTTTACTAATTTTAGTGACCATGAATGGAATTAAATATTTTTAGTGACTAAACATGAACGTTTTTAGTAATCTTAGTGACCAATCTTGCAATTAACCCAGTCTACAACTAAGAAGGCAAGAAGTACTAGAGTGCCACTGGCCAACTCAGTCTTCCGTCTTCATCCTCTTGCAAGAAACCTCAGAGGCTTTCTCCCCTCGGTGCTCTGCCTCTGTCGCTGCTGCGGCCCGCGAGTTCCTCTTCTTCCTCTCTATTCTTCTTCGGGTACCTCTTTTGTCTACGCTCTGTCCTTTTCTGCAGAGATTCTCGCTTGAGCAGTTCATAGCTGTACGAATTTCGGTGGCTGGGTTGATTGATATTGCTCTACTAGTTTGAATCGAAGTTAATGGTGGGATTTAGGTTTTCAAATCCGAGGGCGGTTGGTAGTTCCATCAGGTCTGCCTGGAGGGCGCAGCGGTCGCTGAGATCCGGCAATCACTACACGAAAGAATGTAGTCTGGTTAGGTCTTTGGCAACTGCCCCGACTTTGCTTACCTCTGATTCTCCTTCACATTCCAAGCGTTTCAGTTCCAATTCGGTGGCGGGTCGTTCGTCCGCTCTTCTTGGTTTCTACTCTGCGAGAGCCGTTCCTTTCGCCTGTGCGAGCCCTTTCTTGATTCAACGCTCTTGTTTCTCGACCTCCAATGGCAAAGGTGAGAAACCTGGTGGTGATAGTGCAGTCTCTGCTGGAACTGGAACTGATGTGGGCGATGGAGGAAACGGAATTTCAGGTGGTGAGTGGATGGATAAGCTTAGCGATGTGTGGCACAGCGTAACTAATGCTGTCAACTATACAGCAGAAAGGGCTAAAGAGGTCTCTGATGGAATGACCCCTCATGTCCAGAATGTGCTTGATTCGTATCCCTATCTTAACACTGTGGTTGTTCCTATTGGCTACACACTAACTGGTACCATATTGGCATGGGTGGTTATGCCTAAGCTTCTGAGAAGGCTTCAAAGGTTTGCGCTGCGAACTCCTGGTGGAGTACTCTCCACGAGCATAATCGGGCAGGAAATTCCTTATGAGAAAAGTGTCTGGGGTGCTTTGGAGGATCCTATGCGCTATTTGATCACGTTCATGGCATTTTCCCAAATGTTAGTTCCTCAAGAGCTGCACAAGTTGCCTTCTGTTGTTTTTCTTTTCAGCTATGCAAATAATAGTTGTGTTCTTTTTCCATGTGTTTTGGACTCGTGTCTTGTAGTTGTACGATGTTGGCTCCAACTACTGTGGCATCACAATATCTCGGACAAGCATGGAAGGGTGCAACGACTATTTCCTTGGTGTGGTTTCTTTATCGGTGGAAGACCAATTTGATCAGTCGTGCGTTGGCTTCACATAGTTTGGCCGTTGCTGATCGAGAGAAGTGGTTAACCTTGGATAGAGTTTCCTCTATTGGGCTTTTTGTTGTTGGCCTAACTGCTTTCGCTGAGGCATCGGGAGTGGCTGTGCAGTCTATTTTGACAGTTGGAGGAGTTGGAGGTGTGTCTTAGTGTGGATTGCATTTATTATACCTCATTGTTTGAAATTTGCATCATTAATTCGGTCTTCTGTTAACTTGTGTATTTTTCTGATAATGCAGGTGTGGCTACTGCATTTGCTGCTCGTGATGTCCTTGGAAATGTTCTCAGTGGTTTATCAATGGAAGCTTCAAAACCTTTTTCACTTGGAGATACGATAAAGGCAAGTGGATCATTTTAAGAATTTGGATAAACTTCTAGATAAATTGTCCTATAGTATTGACTAATAAGCCATCTAGTTAGTTTCTCTTTGTAGCACCACAATAAAACTTTCAGTTATGACTTAGATTGATGGAAATCACACTTAAGTTGTATTTAATTGGAATAGGAGGTTCACGGAACCTATGTATGCTTTAGCAAACTGATGTGTGAATCTCTTGAATGCAGGCGGGTTCTATTGAAGGCCAAGTGGTTGAGATGGGACTAACTTCTACAATGTTACTAAATGCTGAGAAGTTTCCAGTAATAGTTCCAAATTCATTGTTTTCTAGTCAGGTGTGTGTTTCATTATGCTTCTATGTTTTCCCCTAGTGGTATTTTCCTCTAGTTGCTGTGATCTTTTAAAGAGCCTCACGACATGTTCTATTTGTTTGATGATGCAAAGTTCTTTTTTTCTTGGCCTGTGCAATTTTAGGTGATTGTAAATAAGTCTCGTGCTCATTTCCGCGCTATGGTGAAAGTAATTCCTCTGGTAGTTGATGATGTGGACAAGGTTGCACAAATTTCGAAGGACATTGAGGGAATGATAAAGTCGAACCCAAAGGTTTTCTTGGGGAAGGAGGTTCCTTACTGTTTCTTGTCCAACATTGGAAGCTCCTCTGCAGAATTGACTTTGGGATGCAATCTTAAGCACATGGTAACCTTTCTTTCCTATAGTCTCTTATTTACTGACATCATTCAGCCTTCATTTTTTGTTTCATCATGGAATCTAGTTCCCCAGAAGCATAATTTGCTCTCTGCATAGTTTAGACTACAAACCATATAACCATGTCCATTTCTATGAAGCTAAATAGTGATGCACGAAGTAGAGATTCAAATGGTGGAATGATTTCGTGATTTGCTGTTGCACAAGGTTATGCATAATCGTCCGCTGCAATGGCTTAAGCAAATATCTAAGAGGCTTATTTTATGTGGAAAACATGCATGCATTTGTGTTATCACTGCACTCTTGTTCCTGTTTCAGTTTCTGGTTGCTGGGAATGACTAGGACTGTATTAGTCAATTGCTAATTAGTACCACATGCATACAGCCATCAGTAGCTTAGCAATTTTTAATGTCTATTTTGTCATGTCTAACTGATTCCTTTTCTTCACAGAGCAAATATGATTGTTATGCCACTGAACAGGAGATACTCTTGGAGTCGGCTCGCATAATTAAAGGACATGGTGCCAGACTGGGAAGTACTTGGCAATCATAATTCCGGTGGATGCTGCCCTGGTCTTGTTATTTCCTCGTCATGTAAATGCTCAACTGATCCATTTTGCCAACCAGGACGTCGAAACCCTATACATATAGTCTCACAAATCTGCAGAAATCCTTATGACGGTTAACAACATTGTCTACCACTGATCCATGACTTTTTTTTGTCGTTCACAAGATACATCCCTTGGCCGGTGGGAGATTTTGGGAGATCTTGTTGGTTACTATCTGAAATGTAACTAGGGTTATGAGCTCTATATTCAGAATTAGAAGAACAGTGTCATTGCCTATTTCAATCTTTTGGTTGATGATCTTGTATCTTTTCCCCTTCAAGTTAAGCAAATCTGTGGACTATCTCTAGTGTGACAGCTTAATGGTAAATGGCATATCGTGGTCTTGAACTCTTGATTAATGTTCCTGTTGTCACTTAACCCGTGTTAGCAAAATAGGCACTGTCTATTGGAAATAAAGCTGGTAGGCGATTTAAGCTGTGTGAGACGATTTCACCACGGTGAAATCACAAGATATTTTATTATTGATTTTTTTTTGGTGCAATCTCCGGTACGATTATACAATTTTTCGGCATAACCATCATGTTATTGCCCGGTTCACCCTCTTAAGCATCTTGTTCAGCAACATCCTGCCACGTCGGAAGCCGGGAGGAGCTGGAAGAGAGTGTTGCCGGGGAGATGGGAGAAGAAAGCAGCAAACTCCTTGAAAATGTCACAATGTAGTTGGCATTTGCCCGTTCCTCCAAATAAAAACAAAAACAGAGACCTTCCTCCTCAAAAAACGTCACCATCGAAGGCCCGCCTGCGTACCTATCCACGTCTCCAGAGATGGAGCCCTTTCGGTAACTCCAAAAACCTTTTTAAGAAGAAGACTTGGCAGAACCAATGTAGAATCATTCTCCATTCTTTCCCCCATTTTCGTTCTGAACTCCCTGTTTTGACCGTTTCCCAGAGTCTCATCAAAGTGGAAGAAGAAAAAAAAAAAATCCCCAATGGAAAACAGTCTACCAATCAGCAACAAAACCCAGTACGAAGACCTGATGCCGGTGATGGCGGAGAAGCTCGACGTGGAGGGTTTTGTGAAGGAGCTCTGCGGAGGGTTTCAGTTACTCTGCGACGCCGAGAAAGGGCTCATCACGGCGGAGAGCCTGCGGGCGAATTCGGAGCTTGTGGGGATGGAAGCGATGACGGAGCAAGACGCGGAAGCCATGGTGAGAGAAGGAGATCTGGACGGCGACGGGGCGCTGAGCGAGACGGAGTTCTGCATATTGATGGTGAGGCTGAGCCCTGGGATGATGGAAGATGCAGAGGCCTGGCTGGAGAAGGCTCTGCATCAAGAGCTGCTGCGCTCTGAATCACTTCTTTGAAAAGGGGAAGAAAAAAATAAAACATCTGGATTAGGGAATTTTCTTGGTCCTTGTTTTCTTTCTTGCTTTGTTTCTGCGGGTGTGATTCCTGGAAACATAAAGGTTCGTCTTTCTTGCTTTGTAAGTCGTTGACTGTTTGATCGAGTGAAAGAGAGATTGTAAACCAATCTTCAAAAAGTTATTATCCTTATATTTATAGGAAAACTTATGGTTATTAAGTCATTACATAGACAGTTAAATAGATTATGAAAATCGTAAAGTTGTGGAGACATGTCGTGTGTTATATTTATAGGAAAACTCATGCATCTAGCGATCTATCATCTAAGCTCCATCTCATTGTTGTGCATTGTGATCATATTGAAATCTATACATGTTTAGTTAAAAAATATAAAGTCCAGGTGAATTTGAAGCCTATATTTAACTATAGGAGTGCATTATATTTAAAGGATAATGTAAAATAAATTTTACGAAATTGAAAAAAATGTAGTATTTTAAAAATCATGGAGATGCAGGGTATCGATCCCCGTACCTCTCGCATGCTAAGCGAGCGCTCTACCATCTGAGCTACATCCCCTTATTGTGCAATTTACTCAAATTCAAGCATATATCGTTTCTATTATAAATATAAAATGCAAGTGAATTCGAAGCCTGTATTATAGAAGTGCATTATATTTATAGGAGAATTGATGACGATTATTAAGTCATTACATGCTCAACTAAATAAATTTTATGGATGGTGCTGCAAACGGAAACCAAGGGCCGTTGATGACGATTATTAAGCCATTAACCCCTCCCGTCTTCTTTGACCCAAGCCACCAAGATCAAAGCAATGTTGTGGCACAAAGCTTGGGTGGCTCCGACGAACATCCTTGGCCGGCGGTCTACTGCTGTCCAACGGGTGAGCCGGGAAATCAGTTGGACTCCTCCTCCGTTTGGTTGGGTCAAGGTTAATGTCGATGGTGCTGCAAACGGAAACCAAGGGCCGGCAGGTGCGGGAGGGGTCCTGCGGAGTCATCATGGGACTTGGATCAAAGGATTTGTTGCTAAGCTGGGAACTTGTTCTGCCATTCAAGCGGAGCTTTGGGGTATCTTCCATGGGTTGGATATGGTGTGGAACGAGGGCAGCAGGGCTGTCATCTTGGAAACGGACTCTCAGATGGCCATACAACTCATTGAGAAGCGAACCGACCCGGTGCATCCGCACGCGACCCTGTTGACAGCGATTAGACGCAAGATTGCTCGTGATTGGGTGGTGAGGATAGTTCATACTTACCGTGAAGGGAATAGAGTCGCGGACTGGCTCTCGAAGCACAGTCTCGTCTATCCCTATGGTAAGAGTGAACTTGAATTACCACCGCAAGGGCTGCAGCATATTTTGGGCGACGATACTCGAGGTCAATCCTTCCCGAGGGAAGTTGTTGATCCTGCCGATACATCTCTTGTCCTGTAATCTCCCCGCCCCCTTTGTTTCTACTTCTGTGGCTTTATGCCTCCTTTGATGCAAAAAAAAAAAATTTTTTTTTATGGAGATGCAGTGAAAGCTTTACTATTTATCGTACACTCATTTGTTGTGCATTGAGCTCAAATTGAAGCTTATATCTCTTTTAGTTAAAAGTATAAAGTCCAAATGAATTTGAAACATGTGTATATACTAGTGCATTATATTTATAGGAAAACTGTTGGTGATTGTTAAGTCATTACATGGTCAATTAAATAAATTGAAAAAATTTGAAAGTTACAAAGATACGGGTATAGATTCTCGTACATCTCACATGCTAAGAGAGTGCTCTCCCATTTGAGTTACATCTAGTTGTTGTACACTCTTCTCATATTGAAGCCTTATCGCTTTAGATAAAAACATAAAATGCAAGTGAATTTGAAGCCTATATTATAGGAGTGCATTACATTTATAGGAAAAAAGTATTATGATTATTAATTCATAACATGCTCAAATAAATAAATTGTATGAAATCTTAAAGTTGCGTAGATGCAACAAGCTCTCTATCATCTAAACTATATTCCTTGTTGTGCACTCTGTTCAGATTGAAGCCTACATCAGTTTTAGTTAAAAATATAAAGTCCAAGTGAATTTGAAGCCTTTACCATCTACTCTACCATCTGAGCTACATCTTCTTGTTGTGCACTCTACTAAGGTTGAAGCCTACATCGCTTGAGATAAAAATATAAAATGCAAGTGAATTTGAAGCCTATATTATAGGAGTGTGTTATATTTATAGGAAAAACAATGATGATTATTAAGTCATTACATGCTTAGATAAATAAATTATACGAAATATTAAAGTTGTGGAGATGTAGCAAGCGCTCTACCATCCCAACTACATCCTCTTGTTGAGCACTGTGTTCATTTTGAAGCTTATATCTTTTTAGTTAAAAATATTTCACGTGAATTTAAAGCCTGTATTTACAGGAGTGCAATATATTTATAGCAAAAATGACGATGATGGTTAAGTCCATATATGCTCATTTAAATAAAATGTATATTTAAGAGTTTTGGAGATGTGAGGTATCAATTCTCGTACCTCCCGCATGCTAAGCAAGCGTTCTACCATCTGACCTACATCCCAATGTTGTGCACTCTACTCAAGGTTATATTGATTGAGTTCAAAATATAAAATGCAAGTGAATTGGGACTTGGATCAAAGGATTTGTTGCTAAGCTGGGAACTTGTTCTGCCATTCAAGCGGAGCTTTGGGGTATCTTCCATGGGTTGGATATGGTGTGGAACGAGGGCAGCAGGGCTGTCATCTTGGAAACGGACTCTCAGATGGCCATACAACTCATTGAGAAGCGAACCGACCCGGTGCATCCGCACGCGACCCTGTTGACAGCGATTAGACGCAAGATTGCTCGTGATTGGGTGGTGAGGATAGTTCATACTTACCGTGAAGGGAATAGAGTCGCGGACTGGCTCTCGAAGCACAGTCTCGTCTATCCCTATGGTAAGAGTGAACTTGAATTACCACCGCAAGGGCTGCAGCATATTTTGGGCGACGATACTCGAGGTCAATCCTTCCCGAGGGAAGTTGTTGATCCTGCCGATACATCTCTTGTCCTGTAATCTCCCCGCCCCCTTTGTTTCTACTTCTGTGGCTTTATGCCTCCTTTGATGCAAAAAAAAAAAAAAATTTTTTTATGGAGATGCAGTGAAAGCTTTACTATTTATCGTACACTCATTTGTTGTGCATTGAGCTCAAATTGAAGCTTATATCTCTTTTAGTTAAAAGTATAAAGTCCAAATGAATTTGAAACATGTGTATATACTAGTGCATTATATTTATAGGAAAACTGTTGGTGATTGTTAAGTCATTACATGGTCAATTAAATAAATTGAAAAAATTTGAAAGTTACAAAGATACGGGTATAGATTCTCGTACATCTCACATGCTAAGAGAGTGCTCTCCCATTTGAGTTACATCTAGTTGTTGTACACTCTTCTCATATTGAAGCCTTATCGCTTTAGATAAAAACATAAAATGCAAGTGAATTTGAAGCCTATATTATAGGAGTGCATTACATTTATAGGAAAAAAGTATTATGATTATTAATTCATAACATGCTCAAATAAATAAATTGTATGAAATCTTAAAGTTGCGTAGATGCAACAAGCTCTCTATCATCTAAACTATATTCCTTGTTGTGCACTCTGTTCAGATTGAAGCCTACATCAGTTTTAGTTAAAAATATAAAGTCCAAGTGAATTTGAAGCCTTTACCATCTACTCTACCATCTGAGCTACATCTTCTTGTTGTGCACTCTACTAAGGTTGAAGCCTACATCGCTTGAGATAAAAATATAAAATGCAAGTGAATTTGAAGCCTATATTATAGGAGTGTGTTATATTTATAGGAAAAACAATGATGATTATTAAGTCATTACATGCTTAGATAAATAAATTATACGAAATATTAAAGTTGTGGAGATGTAGCAAGCGCTCTACCATCCCAACTACATCCTCTTGTTGAGCACTGTGTTCATTTTGAAGCTTATATCTTTTTAGTTAAAAATATTTCACGTGAATTTAAAGCCTGTATTTACAGGAGTGCAATATATTTATAGCAAAAATGACGATGATGGTTAAGTCCATATATGCTCATTTAAATAAAATGTATATTTAAGAGTTTTGGAGATGTGAGGTATCAATTCTCGTACCTCCCGCATGCTAAGCAAGCGTTCTACCATCTGACCTACATCCCAATGTTGTGCACTCTACTCAAGGTTATATTGATTGAGTTCAAAATATAAAATGCAAGTGAATTTGGAGGTTCTAGGAGTGCATCTACAAAAGATATAATAGCAAAACAAAGGTTAGATTTTCAGGGATTCAAATTCCCAGCCATCAGAGGGTTTCCCGGAAGGGTAACTTTGTCATTTCACCCATGTTAATTGAACCCCTGCGTTTTGTTGAGGAGAAGAATGGACATGCCAAATCGCCAACCCCGCCAAATAAAACATCCAAAACGCAAGTCGGCCCACTTACTGTCCCAAACACCCGCTGGTGAGAATATGATGATCATGTCACCCTTACTAAATGAAACTCACCGTTTTGGCTCAGTCCCCCTCACTAGGCAGATCAATCCATCGACTGGCCTAACTAAAGCCGACCTTTTTCCAGGCCTGCCCATCTACGCTCTCCAGCTCGATCCCAACACCGTTTGGTCTTCTTCTCTTCCTCACCGTTCTTTTCCCTTTTCCTTCTGGCAAACATAGTGGAAAACAAGAGCCTCAATTCCTCAATCCGGTATCTCAGCTTCATATTTCAAGATTCCTTATTGCCATTGTCGTTCGCTGTGATGTCCTTCTACTGTGTTGGCTCCAATTTTGATGTTTTCTACTGTACTATACCTCACTAGGGTTTTTGGTTCGTCAAGGGTCTTCGTGACGGCAACTATGGCCGCAAATCAACATGCTGCCGGTACCTCTACATGGGGATTACGTGGTCACCAAGTCCATCATTCAAGGAAACAATGTACTTTCTATCC